TAGAATTATATTATTCTATATTGAAAGTTGATGTTTGTTAGGTGGGTAAGAGAAAATTCATAGTCCAGTGTTGTGTCTCTTATTGGTAAACCTGTGCCATTTCTCCAATTGTGACCTCAGTCTGACTCTTTGGATCAAGGTGAGTGTTATACGCGTATGAGCCATCTCCAATTGTGACCTCATCTGATCCTTGATAAGGTGAGTGTAACGCAAGATTGCTCAGGTCAACAGTAGTATGGTGACTCGCTGCACTGTCTAATAGCCAACTTTGATTATTATTGGTTGTAACTACTGCATTTGCTTGAGGCTTCCACGAAGTTCTTTGTTTATGTTGTGATGCAGGAAGAGAGTTAACTGGGTTTGGAATCAATTGAAAAGAGAGACAACGTTTTGCAGTGTGACCTTGAATGCCACACAATTGACAGTAGCCAAGATAAGGTCTAGGGGTTCTATTGTTTCGATTGGAGTAGGGACGGTTGTTTGGATAGTTATTGGTGTTGTTGGTGGATCGGTAATTGGGTTGATTGCGGTTGTTGGGGATTGGTTTGGTGGCTACGTTGGCTGTTACAGGGAAGTGAGAGGATTCAGTATGGGCACTGGTAATTTCAAAGGTGAGAAGTTTTTCATGAAGTTCTTCAAAAGTGATGGATGATTCTCGAGCTTGAATTGCTCGAGCAAGTTCTTTGTAAGCATCACCTAAACCTGCAAAAACAATGTCAGTAACATCTTCAATATCCATTGGAGAACCCAATGTGGCAAGCTCATTACATCTTCAATAATCCATTGGAGAACCCAATGTGGCAAAGCTCATCTACTCGTATTGCTTTAGGTATGTAGAATCTTGTTATTATCATGGTAGCCTTATGGTCAAGGATTTTATTTGTGTCCTATGATTTGTTTTTGATCCGTTCCTCTGGATTGGTTTGTGCATAGGTTGGTGGCTAATATATCCCAAGCTTCTTTTGGCGGTAGCAGAATGCTTATATATAGGTATATATGTTGTGTGTGAGATGGGACCAACTTGATCTGGCATTTTGAGACTTAGCTGATCATTGGCTTAGTTCCAAGATTGGGTGAGATGGGTTTGGGAGGTGATTCTTGTTATTGTTGTTTTGTTGTTTGTTTATTTCAAAAACAATGTCAGTAACATCTTCAATATCCATTGGAGAACCCAATGTGGCAAGCTCATCTACTCGAGCTTTAATGGTATGTAAGAAATCTGTTATTATCATGGAGCCTTTGGTCAAGGATTTTATTTGTGTCTTGATTTGTTTGATCCGTCCTCTGGATGGTTTGGCATAGGTGGTGGCTAATATATCCCAAGCTTCTTTGGCGGTAGCCGAAATGGCTATAAAAGGTATAATGTTGGGAGAGAGGGAGCCAACGATGGCATTGAGAATTAGCTGATCTTGGCTAATCCAAGATTGGTGAGATGGGTTGGGAGTGATATCGTCATTAGTTGTTGTTGTTGATGGAGGGCAAGGTTTGGATCCATTGATATAACCAAGAAGATCATATCCAGTAAGAAGGGTTTGAAACTGAAGTTTCCATGAAGGATAGTTGCTGGTTGTTAATTTGATTGGTGTTTGTATGGCAGTGTTAATGATGATTAAATTGGTTGAGGGGTCTGTAGAACTCTGCACACCATTATTGTTGCTGTTGTTAGCCATTGTGAGCGGAAGAAGAAAGGAGAAGAGAAAAAAAAATGGATCAGTAGCTATTGTGCTCTGATACCATGTAGAACATAAGACAGAAGAGAGTTTGAAAGAGAGGATAAATTTCTCATTGACAGTGTAGCAATATATACAGCAGAAGCTAAAACTAATTACCTACAAAAACTCAAGCTGTTACAACTAAATCTAATTATACAATTCAAAATACAAACCATGGATACTATGAATTCAAAATACAGAGTATACAGTTGAAGATGAATGATCTAAAATATCTTTGCCAACATTCAGTGCCATGTCTCTAAGCTATAAAAAACAAATTTTAAAAGGAAAAAAGATAATTGGACTATGAATTATGGAATCTAGAATAAAGTGCGGGTTTTTGGATTTTGGAAGTACCTGAGAAGTGAGGGATTTGATTGCTTGATGATGTTTGGTATTAGGAGCATCACAAGTGGCAGACTCATCGGGTTGACTCATCGAGTCATCACCAGGTTGCTTTGATCGAACTATGCACGTCAATATTTTTCAATTTTGGGAAAAAAGATAAAATGTATGCTATGGTAGAGTCTATGTCAGATGGGGATGGCACCGGGTCGGTACCCACTTAAAATGAAGTACCCGAATTCAATTGCCTTTTTCGTGAGAATCTGAGGCCTTGAGTTTGTATTACACAATAGGGCAAGCCCTATTGTATTGTGTAAGGGTCTTTGAGAAAGGCTTTCTGAACCCTTTTTTTTTTATGTCTGCAACTTTCATTGTCGTGGCCTCGAAGCATGCAGTGGGAATAAATGGAATATTATACTAAATATCAATTTTTGAAATTTATTTTTAAAAAATGTAAGTTTGATTTTAAGATTTAAATTATTATCATTTACGATCTACTTTTGCTATTGAACCCCTTTTTTTTATTGTTAGGGTGTTACATTTATTAATATTTCAATGTTTTTTTTTTTAGTGTATCCTTTTTATAGTGTTTCCTTTTTCAAATGTGTTCTTTTTTCAGTGTTTCCATTAAAAGAGTGATCTTTTTCTTCTTTTTTGTGAACTCTGTCTCTGTTGTTGTCACATGTAGGATCGGCGTGAAAGTGCTCATTGAAAAATCGATTTCGTTTCTGTTCTTCTAATACTTCATCTCTGTTTTTATTATCTTCTTCTCCATTAGTATTGACTGCGGATATACGATTTCTTTCTGTTCTTTCACGATTTCTTTTTGGTTTTTGGATTTCGTTTTGCGATTTCATTTTTATATAAGCGTATTAGCGACTTAATTCTCATAATAAATGTTGTTTATGCTCTGAAGAGAGACAATGTAGGACTATCGATTCTATTTGGGTTAGTACTGCTACAAGATATATAAATATATAATGTATTTACTTGGTTTGATCTAATGTGTTAATTGATGTGTGTGTGTATATATACACTATATACCCTATATACCCTGTATATATCCTATATGCATATTTATCGTCGCTGTTATGGACGGTCGTCAGTTGCCGTCATCGGGTGTCATCGTCGTAATCGTTATTGAATCACATAAGCTGTATAGGGATTTGCTTACAAATTCTGTGTTTCCTTTTTTTTAGTATTTTCTTTTTTTAGTGTTTCCTTATTTCTTTTTTTTTAAGTATTTTCTTTTTCAGTGTTTCCTTTTTTCAGTATTTACTTACTTTTTTTCAGTATTTTCTTTTTTCAGTGTTTCCTTTTTTAGTGTTTCCCTTTTCTCTCTTGTGATGTCAGTTTTGGTATTATTAAATTTTTTTTGACCGAATTTGTTATTATCTTAATAAGTATTCTTTTCCGATATTTTGTTAAAATTGAAACCTTATATATGACGTTTGTTAAATTGTCACATTATAAATTAACCACTCAAACCCATTTAGAATTTCATTTTTAATATATGAACCCGTCCTAGCCTCGATTATAATTATTCGTTTAAATATCCGGACCCATTTAACTACATATTATATTTTTAATTTTTTTCTTTCAAAAATAAAAAGTAAATAAAAATTATAAAATTACTATTTTGACTTAATAAAAAATATAATATAATTATAGCATTAATTATACAAAAATAAAAAGTAATTATATAATTAATATATTATATTTTATACTTTATTTTGACTTAATAAAATAATGATAATATAAGTTATAGCATTAATTATAATTAAAAGGTGTCTCTTTCAAAAATAAAAAGTAAATAAAAATTATAAAATTACTATTTTGACTTAATAAAAAATATAATATAATTATAGCATTAATTATAATTAAAAGGTGTCTATATATAAATTTTCTTTTTAAAAAATTATTATTTTAAATATTTTTTGAATATTTGTTAAATGAGTAACGGATAGCGGATATCTGAATCTTTGAACCGGAATCTGCCCGAAACTGTTACGGGTAGCAAAAATACTACCTGAAATGGTTCCAAACCCGTTTATTCACTACCTAAACCCGATAAAACCGAATCGAACAGGATGGAGTACTAGCCGAGTCGAATAAAATTATCATCCCTGATCTCAAACACTTCTTTACCCATACTCTCTCCATATGGTGTGCATTCCAATTTGTATTTTCCAACATGGCAAGTCTCTTTTCAACGAATGCCCTAAAGAGCCACCTCAAATTCAGATTTTGATATGAAAGAATTTCGTTCTATGAACAACTATCAACAAAACAAACAAACAAAAAGTTATGCAATTATTACAAAAAGTAAAATTTAAAGAGCTATAACCTCATTTTAAAAGTTAAAGAGATTACGAGATTTTTGAATAAAAGTTTATGGAGTAATTTATGTATTCAGCTTGATTTGATTATCAATCCAATATATATGGGTCAATGCAAAATAATATTAATTAAAGAATTACATTAAATTATTGATCATTTAAGATATATACATATATATTATCGGTTTGATTTTGTTTGGGGATTTTGACTCAAACTATAAACCTAACTGATAATTCAAATTTTCAAATATACAAATTGAATCAAACCCCACAATTTTTCAAAAACAATTGTAAATCAATTTGAATTAATTTAAACAAATTAGCCATTTATGAACACCAGTAGAGTTACAAAAGTAGGGATAAAAGAAAAACCAATTTAATTAAATAGCGATTGGATTAGAAATAGTAAGGTGTAGCCACCGAGTGTTAGAAGGTCTCTTATAGTCCTTTCAGAAAAAAAAAAAAAATCAAAACTCAAAAGAAGAGAACTCCCACTTAGCTTGTGGGCTTAGGCCACACTAAATCAGAAAAAGAGTAGACTCCTCGAAATATAACCAGCTACATCTATTTGCTAATCCTAGCCAGTGATTCAACTTGAAAAAAAGATCAGAACTTTAACACAAGGGTGCTATTACGATAACTGAGTGTTTGGTTATTACATTTTGAGACAAGATTAACGTCTCTTTGCAGGACTAAAAAGAAGGTAAACTAGTATTTTTAAATATACATAATGAACAACAGTACATTTACAAGACTATATACACAATAGTCATATAAACATTTACAGGACTTCACTTGATAATTTTTTTGCCAGATGAAACTGAACAGCACTGATTTTGTATGGGCTCTTACTTAAATATGAAAATGAACAATCTGGCAACAAATCATTCAGAGCTGCAACCACCAGAAGTATCATCTTCTGGAACCAACACATTGAAATCACTTACAGTCCACTCGGCAGTTTCGCCTGACCGGCTAACATATATTTCCGTTCCAACATTAATTGAAGACCATATACGCCTTGCTGGTTTTGTTCCTGGATCCTGCCAAAAAAAAAAAAAAAAAAAAAAAAAAAAAAAAAAAAAAAAAAAAAAAGGTCTTGTTAAGCTTACTGTTGCACTTGCTTTAGCAATGAAAACTCTTACAAAAAAAAAAAAAAAAAAAAAAAAAAAAAGGTCTTGTAGCTTACTGTGCACTTGCTTTAGCAATGAAAACTCTTACAACAACTTGAATGCTTTCCACCACATGAGTATTGTTAATGACTAGAGGTTATATATTAGATTAGAAGCGCAGCATGGATTATGTATGAAAATATGTCCAGGCAAACCCAAACTCTATTGAACTACACGAGAACAAAAAATCCTCATCACATTTCTGCAGCTTCTTTCCTAACTGGCATAGAAAGAAGGTAACTGCTGCACACGGTGTATATATATAATGTATAAACAAACAAATAAAATAAGGGTCACTTATAATTCAGTCCCTAACAAATTCTGTTGATAATTCAAAGACAAAAAATGGTACCTGATAGAAGTATAAACGACTAGATAGGGCTCCAACATCAAGCTCCCAAGTCCTAGAGTCACCAATCCATCCATCTCCTTTCTTTTCAGGGTAGCCATGAACAGCCCATTCAGGATGTGGTAGAATTTGTACCAATTCCTGAGCTTGTGGATTACTGTATGGATCACAGATATCATATGGTTCCTCCAGATACTTGGCATTTCCTGGGCCGCAGTACAGATGGTAAGCAGAATATGGAAATCGAGATGTCTCATTTCTGTAGATTATTTCACCGGTAGGACTGACATGGTAAGGCGGACAGGAACGCAAATTATTTGGATTGCACCAGCTTGCAGTTGCTGGGTTAATTATCATCTCACTGTATCTCGTAACATCTGTCGGAACATCACCATCACACGGATCTCCATTGTTCTTCCAACAGCTTCCAATATCAACAAGATAAAACTGACTATTGGCCCCTCCTCCACAGGTAACATTAAGTGTCAATTTCACTCTAAAATTTGGTGACTCTGGCAACTGAAAGAAAAATTGATTGCAGTTCCAACTTTAAACACGTTGAAAGATAAAGGCAAAGAAATGACTTTTTTGACAGTGCAATTGCTAATAATAAACTAAATTTAGGAGTAATCATATTTGCCCCATTTGATTTAGCTTTAGTAATGTATATTTTGTGGGTCTGAAATCTGATTTTGGAAAAAGTTCATATTTGAAACTTTTCCAAATCAGCTTTCGGTCCATAAATATCAAATTGCAAGAATCTCTCATCCACCAGCCCACAAGAGTTCTTTGTGATTTTTGGCCCAAAATCTGCTAATACTACCCAAAAAACTACAATGATTTAAGATGCCAATTGGCTATTAGTGATAAAATATCTGCACTTGAAGGATTCTTGAGTTTTCCATCAAGTGAACACAAATTCAAGTAACAAGGATCATAAAAACATACACTTCAACCAAGAAGGCGTCCCAAGTCCGCTTCAAGTGATATAAAATGATAAATAAGCATATGTAACTATAGACGTGAATTTTAACTCTAGATTCAGAAGAACATCAAGTTAACATACCTTTCTCATTATACCCCTGCCATTATAGTGATAACCACCGTTAAATCCTTCTGTTGCATCTGAACGCAGATATAACATGAGCCAGGGATACTTTGCGGATGTTGTTAATTTGTGCGAAAAAATCCAACTCCCTGTGCTCAAATTCTTCTGCCAAACAACTGAAAAATAGGAATTACTCCCTGCGCCTTTGCTCAAGTCAGCATCGAGATCATATGTCCCATAAAATCCTCCAGTCAAAGATGCCATTTTTCCATCAAAAACTAATTGTGAATAGTTGTGATAAACAAGTGGTTGATTCATACATCCTTCACCAAAGCATGGAAAATTCCTGTCTGTTATTATTTTAGTGACATTCTTCCCGTTTTCAGGGCAAAGTGTCGTATTTTTGTCAAAATTACCATTCTTAAGCATAATCATCCAGAACTGCCATGGTTTTGGGGATTCATGAACTTCACACAAAGAAGCAAGATACAACTCCTTTTGCACAGCAAACTTGTCAGGGTCTTCATAGGATTCAAATTCTTTGTTAGGAAACTTATCACCAGCTCTTAAGTTGTTGTTAGAGTCATTCACTTTATGATGCACTTCACAGGTGCTTACAGCATCAAAGGAGTTTTGGCCCAAGGAATCTGAAAATTAGAACATAAAGCTACAAAGAGATTGTAGAAAGTCACGACTTCATGTAATTTGCTAATTTAAACCCAAAAAGTACATTTATGTGATTTGATCAAGCTATATATTACAGATAAGGATTTGACATGATTGATTTGTAAGATATGCTTTCACAATCACAAAAATAACAGAAATATTTGCATTCTTATATATACAATGAAGTAATCGTATATATTGATATAAAAGATAGACATTGAATGAAGTGGTGAAAAAGGAGTTAGCAGCTCTAGATTGTCTTAAGATGTAGTCCAAAGATGAGAATAGTGTAGGCAAGAGATCTATATACCTAACCTAAATTAGTTCAGAATTGAGGTTCAACCGTGTTGATATTTCAATTAGTAAAGAAATATGGAAAGAAATAAAAACGCCTTGTATTTAGATGGTCATCAAATAGAATCAAAGATCTGCCAGTGATTGAAGACCAAACCAAAAACAAGATCATGTCACCTCTGTGTAATAGACAGAATTCTCAATATCTGAAATTGAAAGACACAAAATTAATTAAAGTATTCTGCTAATTAACCACTCAGTAAAATTCCAGGAGATAAAAGAAAATGAACCAAGCTTAATATTTGAAAAGACAATTAATTAAGCACATTATTTCAGCAAGTTGATTCATCCAAGTTATTTTGTGAAAAGAATTTGTACAAGCAACACAGCAACCAGATTTCACTTCGAAAGCCAAATGGGTTCACATTAAAAACTATTTAAAGCATTAGGTAATCAATTTATTCACTTTTCTATCCATTATAAGAACTGATATTATAAGAACAACTCCAATTACTAGTAAAACATGATTATACCTAACAAGTCTACAAGAACCCACTTAACGCAGAAACACCCACATAAATACAATAGCTATTTAGCTAATTATAAAGTAACTGAATTATCAAGCATTCAACGGTAAATGTTCGATAACTAATTATTTTTATCAAATCAATTGACACAATAAAAATAAATGCTTCCAATTATCAAAACTGTATATTTATCTAATAACAAGAACAAAAGGTTATATACCAGAAATTGATGGGCAATACAAATCAGCACAATCAGCCAACCTTGGGCTACCCATGTTAGGAGCTTCAGACCCAACTTCATTGCAGAAATTCCAAGCTTCTAATGCCACTCTCACATTTGGGCTTTTCATTCCTGGGTCTCCTATGGCTGATACATAACTGGTTGATGATGACGAAGAACGTGTCTTTAATATTGTTAGAGCAAAACCCAAATTCCAAAGAAAAACTTGAAGCAAAATTATCGAAGCAAAAGAACAACCCATGTTCTTTTCTTTACCAAACTGCAGAAACCAATGGCACAGAGATTGAATAAGTGAAGGTAACTAGTGTCTATACGCATGCGGAAAATATGGTATTTTAGATTGACCTTCCGGTGAGGCAATCCATGATGGCTTTTTGTCGGTTCGCAATGGCATTATCTTTCTGTTGCTTGCTTTTAAGCAAAGTTTAGACAGATGATGGGTTGGCGGCATCGTCCTCATAGTTGGAACGGCTATTCATAGACAGCTGACATTTTACTAATCTTTTTTTTATTTCTTTCTTTTCTTTTTTTTTAAAGGACCTTTTACTACTTTTTAGTTCATTGAGTTTGCGTTTTGGCTCTTATGGTATTTATTTTATGTGTGCATTTTAATAAAAGAAAATTATTATGCACTCCTTGATAGTTGACCAAATTAAATAAGTTATCTTTGTATTTTTATAATATTAATTAATAGTTCCTGATATTTAATTTTATTATACTAGTTAGTCCTTTCATCTATTTTTTTTTGTTTTTTGCCGTTAAATATTACTAAAATGCAAGAAGAGAAGAGAGAAATGTTTTGTAAAGACAAATTTATCCTTAATGGGCTATGACAAAAATGATATTTATGAAATTATCCCTTGTAAAAATTAACAATAGGATCAAAGGAGTCTTTAACTCCTAAATCTCTTCTCATGGATCAAAAGAGTAGCTCACCTTCATCATCAACAGTCGGATCTGGGCCACCACCAGGACTCCAATCAAGAACATGCCCATTACACCACCAGCACTCCTAGAGAGTCTCCTCATTCTAGGCAAAGACATGCAAAGACTAAAGCAAAGTCAAGGGTGATAATGGCGGTGGCAGCGACGACGTTGCAAGAGAACCAATGGATCTCAGCACCTAAGGCAGTAAGGGTTTAAATATTGCCTTGTGGCTGTGGTGTTTGCCAACTTAGTCTAGATCAACTCCAATGCTCATGGCACTCTCTTTCTTCTCCCTTATTTCATCTTCTATAGGTGCTCTTCCTTCCTTTCACTATTAATTTCTTGCTTATGTGCAAAAAGACACAAATTTTTTTTGACTTCTAAAATTCTCTTTCTTCTCCCTTATTTCATCTTCTATAGGTGCTCTTCCTTCCTTTCACTATTAATTTCTTGCTTATGTGCAAAAAGACACAAATTTTTTTTGACTTCTAAAATCCTCTTTTAATTTTTTGGAAGAGGTAAGCTCCCATCACTCCCTCTCTCCTTTTTAATTCTATCTTCTAGGTTTAGTAGGGCAAGTGATTCAAATTTTGATTTTTCGATCTTCAATAGGTTGAAGTTTTATTAATAAAAATCTTAGTAGAAATAAGATTGCTTAGCAAAAAAAGATGTTGAGGCCGAGTACCTTTTTTGGCTTGGATATAACAACTAATAGTTGTATTATTTTGATATTTGCAGGTTTTTCGTAGCTTATCTTTTCTCATCTCAAGAGGAGATATATATGTCTATTTTGTACTGTTGTATAGAATTTTTGGTAATTAGGTTTTTTCACTTATCAAACTCAAGTGTAGCTTTGGGTGTATAGGGGAAGCCTGCTGGCTAGGGTTTAGTTCTCGAGTTTGATAAGTTTTTCTAATTTTATAATTTAATAAAATAAAATATGAATTGCTGTTAAAAAAAATAAATAAATATGGTTATTGCAGAAGTACAGATCAAATAATTTACTTAGCAGGTGAGTTCTCCAACTCTTTCTTCTGCTATGGCCAATCTTATATCTGTTTCACTTTCTTGCTTACAATAATCACAAGGTCAATCTTCATTTTCCTTTTTATATACATTTTTTGGGAAATCCCTTTTTTTTTCTTGTCTTTGAATGGAAGTGACTTTAAAATTTTTTCACTTTTTTTGGAACAATTAACAGCATGGAAACTCTAGATTTGAGAAGATCAAGTAGCCAAGCTATACTTTTGGATGCTCAAACTTGATTTCTACAGCCAATTATGTGAAGGAGAATCATAAGTTATGAAAGTTATAATATGGAAGAGTGCAAGAAAGCTAATAGCCAAGATTGCTTCTGCAAAATCTTGTCAACTCCACTTTGAGCCCACAACATATACCTAGTTTTGAGTTTTATTTATAGAGATTTGCAATTTATTCTAAAATTTATTATGGTTACTTTAGTTTTGCTTTGGTGTTATTGTTGAGAAATTTGTGGTCTATTGATGACTGGAATGGTTTAATGGAGATGAAGATTGAACTTTTTAAGGATGCATTTTTTATTAAGATGGAATTGGAGTAGAAATGGAGGGTTGTGACGTAGTGGCAGTGAAGAGAACAAGAGAGAAGAGTTCATATCCTGTCACGGAGATAGGTTTTAACTTGCCTATCTGTGCGGCACTTAGTCGCCTTTGGATGCTAGGACGAGCTAAGTAAGCCTAGAAGCACAATGGAGCAAATATAAAAGCTAAATAAGAAGAGAAGAGAGCACAAAAGAGCTTTAGAGACTTGTATTTCTCTTGTATTGCTTAATTGCTTGGTGATTACAAATGAGAGGAGTGGTGGTATTTATAGCCATTTCCACCTCTCAATGGATGGCTAGGATTTACATACATAGAATCAATGGTCTAGATTACATGGAGTTAGGTGGGTGTTAGGTGAGAGTTAGGTGAGACATTAAAATATCTTTGGGTGGGAGTATTATAATGCCTACACATTGTGGACTTGGAGCAACCACGTTTGGGCTTGGAGCTTGCCAAGTCTTTGGGTTATTTGTGCTAGCCCGTTTTGGATAGCCTTGCAAGCCTTCCTTATAAGTGTTTGGGCCAACTCCACCTTCTCACCATGCGGGTCGTAACACCCTCCCCCACTCAAGCTCACGACGTCCTCGTCGCGCCTTGAGCCTCGTATTGCCGACGTCCTCGTCGCGCCTTGAGCCTCGTATTGCCTTATCATTTCCTCGAACTGCCATAGGGTGTCTTCATGCTCCCAACTAGCTTCAGATTTTGGGAGGTTTCTCCACTTAATCAAGTACTCGCGGTAGTTTGGGACTCCACGTTTTCACACCACCCGCGAGTCGAGTATGTTGTCAACCTCCCTGTCGAATTCAGTGACAACTGCAGTTGGGGCTCGTGTGGATGCACCCCTGCCTGGATCTTCTTCATCGGAATGGTAAGGTTTTAACATGCTAACATGGAAGACGTTGTGAATTTTAAGTTTAGGGGGCAGTTCGACTTGATAAGCAGCTCTTCCCACTTGCTTGATGATAGGAAATGGTCCTTCATACTTCCTCACCAACCTTTTGTGCACCTTCCGTAAGGACTTGAATTGGTTAGGGAGGAGTTTAACTAGTACCTTGTCTCCTTCAGCGTACTCTTTTGGCCGCCTCTTAGTGTCTGCCCATTTCTTCATTCGCCGAGCAGCTTTATCGAGACAAGCATGGGTCTCATCTGCTTCTTCATGCCATTCCCTTGCAAATTTGTGGGCTGCAGGGTTCACCCCGGCATATGAAGCTGCAATGGTATTGCGGGTCATAAGCTGCTGTCCCATGATAATTTCGAAGGGACTTTTGCCTGTTGACTCACTCCTTTGGAGGTTGTACGAGAATTGGGCAATGTCAAGCAGCTTGGCCCAATCTCGCTGATGGGCACTGACATAGTGTCGGAGGTACAGCTCGAGTAAAGCATTGATACGCTCTATTTGCCCATCGCTCCGGGGATGAAAGCTAGTTGAGAAGTTCAAGTCTGTCCCCATCAGCTTGAGCAATTCTCGCCAGAACTTGCCAGTAAAACGAGGGTCTCGGTCGCTCACAATATTCCGTGGGAGTCCCCATAACTTCACCACATTTTTAAAGAACAGGCAGGCTGCTTCATCAACCTTACAGTCAACAGAGACTGGGATAAAGGTAGCATACTTGCGGTAGCATACTTGCTGAATCTATCAACAACGACCATTATGCTGCCATATCCTTCAGATTTTGGTAGTGCAACGATGAAGTCCATCGAGACACTTTCCCAAGGGCGCTTTGCAACGGGGAGAGGCTCAAGTAAACCCGCAGGAGCTTGTTGTTCAACCTTGTCTTGTTGACAGATAAGACAGGTTTTGACATACGTCTCTACGTCATCTTGCATCCTTGGCCAGTAGTAGTGAGTTGACATACGTCTCTACGTCATCCTGCATCCTTGGCCAGTAGTAGTGAGCTCTTACTAAGGCCATTGTACGTGCTTCACCAGGATGTCCAGCCCATTTTGAATCGTGGGACTCCTTGAGGATTTCTTTGCGAAGATTCCCCCATTTTGGCACGAAGACTCGATTGCCATGAGTATAGAGTACTCCGTCTTGTTCCCAAAATCTTCGTGTCTTTCCTTCCTTTGCTAATTTGAGCAAGTTTCCAGCAAAAACATCATGTTGCATCCCTTCTCAGATGCGCTCCAGCAGGTTGCTTCGTGGGGTGGTAGCAATGATTGTGGCTAGCTCTGCCTTGCGACTCAATGCATCAGCCACAACGTTGGCCTTCCCTGGTTTATACTCAAGTTTATAGTCAAATTCTGCCAAGAAGTCTTGCCATCGAGCTTGCTTAGGACTCAACTTCTTCTGCGTCTGGAAGTAGCTAGTGGCTACATTGTCTGTCTTGACTACAAACTGTCTGCTAAGCAAGTAGTGACGCCATATCCGTAGGCAATGAACTATGGCTGTCATCTCCTTCTCTTGGACAGTATACCGACGCTCGGTATTGTTTAGCTTTCGACTTTCATAAGCTATGGGATGGCCATCCTGCATCAATACCCCACCAATAGCATAGTCAGATGCATCTGTATGCACCTCAAAAGGCTTTGTGTAATCGGGCAGCACCATGACAGTGTAACGCCCCATTTTTTTCGGTGTCTCCGGCACCGAATGTGGCATCCGCCGTCGGGTCTCTCGGGACTGGGTGGCGGGTGTTACAGACAGGCTCTTCAGACACTATGTGCTTCAGTTCTTTAAAGGCATCTTGGCATTGTGAAGACCAATCCCATGAATAATTTTTCTTGAGCAGATTGGTCAGGGGCGCCGCAATGGCTGAATACCCCTTTATAAAGCAACGATAATAATTTACAAAGCCCAAGAAAGATCTCAACTTACAAAGCCCAAGAAAGATCTCAACTCGGGTACATTTGATGGAGGTTGACACTCTTGAATGGCTTTCACTTTAGCTGGATCCATCTTTAGCATGCCTTCCTTGATCTTATGCCCAAGGAACTCTATTTCCTGTTGAGCA